TTCTATACGAAACTACTTGTAACTTACCTTTATTTGATCCTTATTCATTTTTCTCGTTTGTGTTGCGTTCCCGTGTTCCCGTCCTGTGTGTAATAACTACACCTGACTACACCAGCCTGCACAATCATCCGCTAGTTCCGCTAGAAATTGAAATCGGCGTAATGACAATAGCGTAAAGAGCGTAAAATAACTAGGCAAAAGCTAACACTCAAATGAGACGATGTGATTGGTCAGCACAAGTTACGCCGCAGTTACGCTTACGCAAGTTACGCCGCATGTAATCGCACCCTGAGCGCTCAATGATTTCTTAATATATATGATTGGCTGGATCTAAAAGTATTAAGGTGCAATTTCATTGACGTAAAAGCACCTAAAGCCCGCTGCAGACGATGCTATTTTTCCTGCTGGATTGCTTGCAATTTAGTAAATTACTAGGAATCCTGAATGCTGAGTGGTGCAATGATAGTAATTTACTAAATCGCAAGCAATCCAGCAGGAAAAATAGCATCGTCTGCAGCGGGCTTTAAGTTCCAGTCTACAATAGATAATTTAAGCTCTAAGCTTTAAGAATTGACCAATCACGGTCAAGTACGAGTAGAATACGCGACTGTGATTAGTCAATTTCTTAAGGCTTAGGGTTTAAATCTCTATTGTAGACTGGGACTAAAGCCTATCACACAATACCAGGGGCCCGATTCTTGAATTTAAGCCCGCTGCAGACGATGCTATTTTTCCTGCTGGATTGCTTGCGATTTACGAAATTACTAGGAATCCTGAGTGCTGAATGGTGCAACGATAGTAATTTATTAGATCGCAAGCAATCCAGTAGGAAAAATAGCATCGTCTGCAGCGGGCTTTATTCAAAGAAGAAATGTATGCGAAAATTCTGCTCTTACAGAAAAGTTGCAAGTTGATTGGCTATTCGCATGGCTTTAACCAATCGACTTGCAACTTTTCTATCAGGGGTGCTTTCGCGACGTAGAGTAAAATGATCCGGATCAAAATGATCCGTGCTATGATTGGTCAAATCTGAAATTTCGTAGCATCTCATTGAAATTTTATTCAATGAAATTTCAGATTTGACCAATCATAGCACGGATCATTTTGATCCGGATCATTTTACTCTACGTCGCGAAAGCACCCCAGAGCAGAATGTTCGTATACGTTTCTTCTTCGAATGATTTCGAGAATCAGGCCCCAGGCAACAGGCAATAGGAATAGGGAATAGAATTTCTGACGCGTTGGATTCGTCGGAAATTTTCTACCAACCAATCCAACGCGTCAGAAATTCTATTCCCTGTTCCTGTTGCCTGTTGCCTGGCATTGTGTGATAGGCTTTAAGCCTATCACACAATGC